CAATCCCACCACTGAAGGTGACAGTGCTATCCACAGCACTACTGTGTTACTCCATTTGTACAATTAAACTTGAACGCATAAATGTTATTTTTTTTCAACTAGTCATTAGCACTGACAATTTATATTTATGGGAAAATCTCCTGGGAAGTTGTTACCTTGATAATCCTGTCAATAATAAGTTTAACATACAAAGTATGTTTTTGTTACCCTACTTGACTAAATCATTCGTGTGTGTGACTGAATATAAACTGTAGTGGTCAGAGTAATGCGGGTAACATTCCACCTGGATGGTAAATGCCAAATTAATAAGTTAACAGACTAATCAATTATCACTAATCTATCATGAAATCCTGAGAGAATCTGGTCATATATTTAGTTAATTATTTGTCTCAAATTACAGTTTTAGCCCTAAGATAAAGGAAGGAGGAAGGAAAATAAACTTGCATGTGCAATATGTACATCAGGAAGCAAAACATATCAAGTTCAATTAGCGACATGATGAAGCGAACAAGAAGTCCAGTAATTTGCTTGTTTTTGTGCCACAAGTTCAAGCTCACAAATGTATTGTGGCCAGCTGACTTGGTATCATGTTACTCGGGCAAACAATAAAGCTCACACTTGACGCTGTCGTTCGAGTGAGAGACTAAACTTGTGTCAAGCCAGCCTCCAATTCGAGACTTGCCGTCAAGCCAGCCTCCAGTTTGTTTTACGTTCCCTGTGTATTCAAAGTATTACGGGAATGGATGTGGAAACCGGATTTCAAAATAAAAGCCAACTTCGAGTGAATTAACAGATATGTTAAGAACATAATAACATATAATTTAGGCTTTTTTTTTCTTTTCTTTTTTTTAACAAACTCTAATGTTAGATCTATATGACACAGCCTTGTACCCCAATTGTGCCCTGTCACTATCAAGGCCATCTTATTTTGGATTTCAAAGTAAAAGCCCTGTGAATCTTCATTTTTGAACTACTCTTTCAATGACTTAATAATGCTCTTAAAAGCAAAAGTCGTATTTCCAAATACTATTTGAACTTTATATCAACACTTTCCAACCACAGTCTTTTTCACAGTGATACCATATCAATATCAAGTCAGTCTGATTTTGCCTTTCATAGTAATGTCCCTTTGAAATTGCCGATATTTGACTTAATCTTTTAACGATTCAAAATGATCTAAAATGCAAAATTCGTGTTTCCACAGGGTAATTCCACCTTAGATCAACAGTATACAGCCCCACAGTGATACCATATCAATATCAAGTCATTCTGATTATGCCTTCCAAAATAAAAGACTTTTTAAATTGTCCATAATTGACCTACCTTTCAGTGATTTCAAAATGCTCTAAAATGGAAATTTCCTGTTTCCACAAGTTAATTCCACTCCAGATCAACAGTATACAACCTCACGATGTTACCATATCAATATCAAGACATTCTGATTTTGCTTTAAAAAATAAAAGCATTTTCAAACTGCCCATATCTGACTTGATCCTGGAACAATTTCAAAATGCTCTAAAATGGAAAATTCCTGTTTCCACAGGGTAATTCCACTCCAGATCAACAGTATACAGCCCCACAGTGATAACATATCAATATCAAGTCATTCGCATTATGCCTTCCAAAGTAAAAGCCTTTTCAAATTGTCCACAATTGACCTACCTTTCAGTGATTTCAAAATGCTCTAAAATGGAAAATTCCTGTTTCCACAGGGTAATTCAACTCCAGATCAACAGTATACAACCCCACAGTGATACCATATCAATATCAAGTCATTCTGATTATGCCTTCCAAAATAAAAGACTTTTCAAATTGCCAAGATACGACCTGCTCTTTTAAAGATTTCAAAATGTTCTTAAACAGAATTTTGCTGTTTCCACAGGATAATTTCACTTTAGGTCAACAGTATACAGCCCCACAGTGATACCATATCAATTTCGAGTAATTCTGATTATGCCTTCCAAAATAATGGCCTGTTGAAAATGCCCATAATTTACCTAACTTTCAGTGATTTCAGAATGCTCTAAAAAGGAAGATTTCAGTTTCCACAGGGTAATTCCACTTTAGATCAACAGTATACAACCTCACGATGTTACCATGTCAATTTCAAGTCAGTCTGATTTTGCTTTTCAAAATAAAAGCTTTTTCAATTTGCCCATATATGACTTACTCTTGGAGCGAATTCAAAATGCTCTAAGATGGAAAATTGCTGTTTCCACAGCATAATTCCACTTTAGATCAATAGTATCCAACCCCACGGTGATACCATATCAATATCAAATCAGTCTGATGTTGCCTTCCAAAATAAAAGACTTTTCAAATTGCCGATATACGACCTACTCTTTTAACGATTTCAAAATGCTCTTAAATGAAAAATTCATGTTTCAACAGGACAATTCCACTTTAGTTCAACAGTATACAACCCCACAGAGATACGATGTTAAGATCAAGTCACTCTGATTTTGCCTTCCAAAATAAAAGTATTTTTTATTGCCTGTAGACGACCTACTCTTTTAACGATTAGATCAACAGTATCCAACCCGACAGTAAAACCATGTAAATTTCATGGTGGTCTGATTTCGCCTTTCAAATTAATGGCCCGTCAAATTTGTCCATATGTGATATACTCTTTCAATTATTTCAAAATGTTTTAAAAATGAAAATTGCTGTTTCAACACATATTGGGTTTTCATTTTGAAAAGCAAAATCAGACTCAATTGATTATGACAGAATTGAATCATAAAGATGATGTAAAAGGAAGCTGAAAAAGCTTTTATTTTGAAAAACAAAATCAGACTGACTTGAAATTGACATGGTAACATCGTGAGGTTGTATACTGTTGATCTAAAGTGGAATTACCCTGTGGAAACTGAAATCTTCCTTTTTAGAGCATTCTGAAATCACTGAAAGTTAGGTAAATTATGGGCATTTTCAACAGGCCATTATTTTGGAAGGCATAATCAGAATTACTTGAAATTGATATGGTAACATCGTGAGGTTGTATACTGTTGACCTAAAGTGAAATTATCCTGTGGAAACAGCAATTTTCACTTTTAGAGCATTTTGAAATCTTTAAAAGAGTAGGTCGTATCTTGGCAATTTGAAAAGTCTTTTATTTTGGAAGGCATAATCAGAATGACTTGATATTGATATGGTATCACTGTGGGGTTGTATACTGTTGATCTGGAGTGGAATTACCCTGTGGAAACAGGAATTTTCCATTTTAGAGCATTTTGAAATCACTGAAAGGTAGGTCAATTGTGGACAATTTGAAAAGGCTTTTACTTTGGAAGGCATAATGAGAATGACTTGATATTGATATGTTATCACTGTGGGGCTGTATACTGTTGATCTGGAGTGGAATTACCCTGTGGAAACAGGAATTTTCCATTTTAGAGCATTTTGAAATCACTGAAAGGTAGGTCAATTGTGGACAATTTGAAAAGGCTTTTACTTTGGAAGGCATAATCAGAATGACTTGATATTGATATGTTATCACTGTGGGGCTGTATACTGTTGATCTAAAGTGGAATTACCCTGTGGAAACAGGAATTTTCCATTTTAGAGCATTTTGAAATTGTTCCAGGATCAAGTCAGAAATGGGCAGTTTGAAAATGCTTTTATTTTTGAAAGCAAAATCAGAATGACTTGATATTGATATGGTAACATCGTGAGGTTGTATACTGTTGACCTAAAGTGAAATTATCCTGTGGAAACAGCAAAATTCTGTTTAAGAACATTTTGAAATCGTTAAAAAAGTAGGTCGTATATGCTCAATTTGAAAGGGCATTTATTTTGGAAGGCATAATCAGAATGACTTGATATTGATATGGTATCACTGTGGGGCTGTATACTGTTGATCTGGAGTGGAATTACCCTATGGAAACAGGAAATTTCCATTTTAGAGCATTTTGAAATCACTGAAAGGTAGGTCAATTGTGGACAATTTAAAAAGTCTTTTATTTTGGAAGGCATAATCAGAATGACTTGATATTGATATGGTATCACTGTGGGGCTGTATACTGTTGATCTGGAGTGGAATTACCCTATGGAAACAGGAAATTTCCATTTTAGAGCATTTTGAAATCACTGAAAGGTAGGTCAATTGTGGACAATTTAAAAAGTCTTTTATTTTGGAAGGCATAATCAGAATGACTTGATATTAATATGGTATCACTGTGGGGCTGTATACTGTTGATCTGGAGTGGACTTACCCTGTGGAAACAGGAATTTTCCATTTTAGAGCATTTTGAATCGTTAAAAGATTAAGTCAAATATCAGCAATTTCAAAGGGCCTTTACTATGAAAGGCAAAATCAGACTGACTTGATATTGATATGGTATCACTGTGAAAAAGACTGTGGTTGGAAAGTGTTGATATAAAGTTCAAATAGTATTTGGAAATACGACTTTTGCTTTTAAGAGCATTATTAAGTCATTGAAAGAGTAGTTCAAAAATGAAGATTCACAGGGCTTTTACTTTGAAATCCAAAATAAGATGGCCTTGATAGTGACAGGGCACAATTAGGGTACAAGGCTGTGTCATATAGATCTAACATTAGAGTTTGTAAAAAAAAAAAGCCTAAATTATATGTTATTATGTTCTTAACATATCTGTTAATTCACTCGAAGTTGGCTTTTATTTCGAAATCCGGTTTCCACATCCATTCCCGTAATACTTTGAATACACAGGGAACGTAAAACAAACTGGAGGCTGGCTTGACTGCAAGTCTCGAATTGGAGGCTGGCTTGACACCAGTGAGACTAAGTGTGTAATGGTAAAGTTACAAGGCAACACACAGCCTCGTGAAGAGTAGAAGCGACCGATATATAAAAAGTGTAGCTTATTTTTAATATTAGCACTACCTGGTTTTCCTTACACTCTCCCAGCACAGCGTGATGGAGAGGATTTTCCAAAAGAATCACAAACACGCGTAGCAGCGTTATTCGAAGTTGTGCCTTTTGGCCTGAAATGGCATCAGTGCGGGCACACAGACTTACTCTCTGACGGGTAGAAGCGCTGCATGTCGATCTTATGCACCTCTTTGGCGTAGTACTCCTCCTCGCTCCGCTGCCGTTCGCAAGTCGCCGCCCGTTCGTTCGCTTTTTCTTGCAGTAAGTCCCGGGTGCTGTTATAGATAGAGACGATGTCCCGGGACACCTCCTCGGGTTCGGGGAAGTCCTCTGGGGGGGCTGCGAGTTTCAGCTTACTCAGGATCTGCCCTCGGATGGCTTCGATGCGTTTTTTCTTGAATTGATCCATGTCCAGCGTACTGCACGTAGACAGACTGAAAGCCACGGTGGCTATATCCAAAGTAAGGAAAAGGCACACGAGATACACGTTCATTTTCTCCACCAGCGTATTCAAATATCACAATAAATAATCAGGAAACAAAATCAAGAGCACTTTGCCTTTGAATATCGCCAAACAGATATATTCCTTTATCAACGATCAAAGTGGAGCATTTACGAGTAAGCTGGTACCGAAAAATTATTTGAATCTCGAACAGTTCGTTTTAACCAATTTTAGCAGTGTACCGGAAAATCCATTCAACTGCCTCAGTCCAAAAAGGAATCCGTTACTGTGGGACAGCGAGGGTCTGCTCCCGGCTTGTTTAATCGTTTAAGGGGGTGAGGAGTAAATCTGGTACTGAATGTGTCCAGATCGCCAACCAAACGGATCTGCAATAGCCCACACGGATTTAAAAAAAAAAAAAAAAAAAAAAGAGACGAAGGGGAGCCTAAAACTGAAGCGCTATCTTCAGCGAGCCTGAGTATCCGAACGCTCTTCTCATCGCTCTCCTGGAATCCAAACAGTCACTCTGTCACACTTCAGCGCTTTGATGGTCCAGACAGATAAATGGGTTTACACTAGCATCAAAACTCGAACGTGCTCTTAGCAGCGCCACAAACTTAAGCTGCCGCCTCGAAGTCGAATCAAAAATAGCTCCAGTCTTGTTCTCACAACGCTAAAGTCTTCCTGCAAAAGCAGAGCACTTCAAAAAAAGAGAGAAAGAAAACAATAAACCAACAGCAAAAAAAACTCGGAGGTTGTTCTTGGTACGACTGCAGAGCGTCTCCCTTCAGCTCATCCAGCTGGAGGAAGGATCGTTTCTTATTTACAAATGCTAAATTGTTAGTAGTGGCTGTTTACTGGACCATTTTAAGGGACTGGTCGTACAGCGTGCTACCCCTTCTACCAGCTTTGAACCACAGTTATCGTCCTCACTTTTCAGAGCAGGATATGCTTTCAATTCCAGGTCAACAGACGATTTGTAGTAAACAGGAGTGTTCGTTTTGCACAGTGGGACAGCGCGGCAACAGTACTCTAATACGCTGGCTCATCACAGGTCATGAATGCGGGGTCTTATACCCGGGGTTCTGTCCTTTCTAATATGGCCTGGGCATGTGTACATGGGTCCACGATCTGTTACAATAGACAAATTGATTTTTTTTTAATTATTATTTTTAACCAGAATTTGACTCTTAAACTTTAGATATTGAAACCATACATTTTCAAAAACACATATTATCTTAATAAAATTGCATAATGAGATTAGTGGTTTTTATTTCCAAAATCAAAAGCAGAAATGGGGTTGCCAAATGACAGGAAAAAAATAAGAGCTGCATAACTTAAGAAAAACATCATGGAAAATTGATTGGTTCTTATATAGTAATTTTCTATTCTACCTGAGCACTCAAACCCTTTGTACAGCATTCACCCATCTGTGCAAGATTTTTTTTTCTTCTATGCTTATTGTTATTAATATTTCTATTTGACTTTCTATTTAAATGTTATAAGGTATAATACTCCCACACTCCAATGGATGCATTGGTAAGCAACGTGGGGTTAGTATATTTAACATGCAAACTAGAGCAGCCAGGGATTGAAACAAAATGACCTGTGTAAGGACAAGAAAGACACTGTGGACAAAACAGGAGCCATAAGCCCAGGCCTAAGTCTCCGTGATATGTTGGAGATTAAAACAGACCTCACCCCCATGCAACTTTGTACCACGCTGAGGGGACACTACAAGGAGGATAGCTCTACTGACCTCTATCATCGGCTGCTAAATATCACTCAAGGAAGTAATGAGTCCCCACAGAACTTTCTATTTAGGGCAACAGAGCTGAAAGAAAGACTCCTAACATCATCAAGGGAGCCAGGGACAGATGAACAATACAGTGTCGAACTGATTCAGAAAAAGTTTCTGCGAGCCGTTGGCACAGGTCTGATCAGTGACAATGTGAAATACCAGATCAATCCCCACCTGGATGATCCAGCAGTCACTGACGATGTGCTGATTGCAAAGACAAATGAAGCGGGCCAGCCTTGAGTGGGAGAGGCAACAAAAATTCAGAAAGACTACCCGAGAAATGAAAGTAAGAGAGATAAAAGCAGAGGCACAGTCAGTGCAAGAGGCAGCAGTTGGTGCAGTGGGTGGGCAAGACCAGCCATTCTCCACCTCGACAAAAGGTAAAGCTGCTAAAGCACCAGCAACAGTGACTCGGAAGGAAACTGAGCTGTTTGAAATCATCAATCAACTAAAAGGGGAAATAGATGAAATAAAAGGAGTTATTTGTGAGTCGCACCGACCTTCTCCCTCACACCGCCCAAGTCTCAAACGTGGCTGCAGGGATTGTCAGGACAGCAATAGAGGAGAAAACTGCGGCCACTGCTTCAAATGTGGACAAAGTGGGCATTTGTCAAGGGGATGCTGCACCCGGAGAAAACTTCCAGACAGGGAAGATCAAATTGGTATGTCAGCTAGCACGGTGAACCCACGCTACTTTTCAGCTACTAAACCAAGGTGAGCAACAACAAGATGTTCACAAACTCTTGACAGACAGTATAAAACATTTGGAGACAAAAGTAGCAGCTGTCACACAAGATAAGAGGAATGAAGCGGTCTCTATCAGCCTCCTCTCCCCAAGACAAAGAGCCCAGCTCCTCAATCTTATTGGGAGGAAGCACATGATCACCTGCCTGCTTGAGGGAGTAAAAAGCACAGCATTGTGGGACACAGGATCACAGGTCTGTCTCATAAATGAAAAATGGAGACAACAGAACATCCCACACCTCAAAGTTAGGAGTTTAACTGAAATCATTAGGCCTGGTATATTAGATGGGAGGGCAGTAAATCAGACACAAATCCCATTTTCTGGGTGGGTTGAAATCAAATTCAGGTTGCCCACAGAAGAGGCTGCGCAGTTAGAGCTTCTCATGCCAGCTCAGGAAGATGGGGTGGCGGAGGAGGCAATAATTGGCTTCAATGTGATTGAACACATGCTAGAGAGGGGAATAGAGTCACCTCGTGCTGTAACAGAAGCTGTTAGCACAGCATTCTCCATTGACTGTAAGAAAGCTGAGGTCTTTATAAAGGTGATGAAGAGTGGAGACGATGAGGTGAGGGCAGAGTGAAAACTGGGAGTGAATTAATGAGCATCCCACCTGGTCAGACAAGAGTTGTCAAGTGTAGTGTGAGAGCAGGCCCACTCCCAGCAGGTCAGGATGTCCTGTTCGAGCCCAGTCCCTACTCCCAGATGCCAGAGGGATTGGAGGTGCAAGAGAGAGTTGCCAGGGCTGGACTGGGACAAAAAATCGGCCCGGGTATTTTGACTAGAGATCGCCCCCCCCCAGGTATTATAGGAAAAGCCATAAAGCCTTTGAATGAAAACAGAGGCTGTTGTGACAGTGATGTACACTTGTTTTGTTGGTATATATATGATTCCTATACATTTTACGTCAGATTAAAACTTTGGTTGTAAGCTTCAGATAATTATTTAATAAAAGCGAGACATTTTAAAGGAGAATAAGAACGTATATCTTTGTGCCCCCTTTTCCCAGTTAATGCCCTACCTGGCCCCCTGGCAAAACTTTGCTAGACCCACCCCTGCACAGTTACCAGCTGTCAGTGTGGATTTTTTCCCCATATTTCTAACATATCAATTAATTTTGTTGTGATTTATTATCAGCCAGACCCATATTTGCTTTAAATGACAAATTTATTTAAGACAGAGTGATTTATGTAAGTCTGGGATGGTACGTGTTAACAGCCGCTCATAGATCCTACCTGCAGGATCTTCTTTTCGTTGATATTGCTCTTATGACTGATGAAGCCGAGCTGGTGAGTTTCTGTGTTAACTAAGTAACGTGTTAAAGATACAAATATGACTATTACCAAACTGTACTGTCATTAATAGTGTTGCAGAGGTGTGGACTCGAGTCACATGACTTGGACTCGAGTCAGACTCGAGTCATTAATTTTATGACTTTAGACTTGACTTGAAAAAATGTTCTAAGACTTGTGACTTGACTTGGACTTTTACACCAATGACTTGGGACGTGAATTGGACTTGAACCGGTTTACTTGAAAAGACTTGATATTTTACCCCAAATATAAAATTTAACATGCATATTATATAGAGATTGAAAATGTAACGTCATTCACGGGTAGAACCGCAAAGGATTCTGGGAACTCGTGGCAAGCGGTACTAGCGCACGCAGGCTTTCAATTAAAATCAGTTATACAGCGATAAAAAGAAACACAAAAATGTCAAGAAGCCGTTGTATTATTAACTGCAATAGCCGGTCGCATGACAGCCACGGGAAGCCGACGGGTAAAGAGATCGGTTGTTATCGGATTACGTCGTTGAAGAGAAATTGTTCAAGCCATGTTTCCGAAGTAACAAAGACGCGACGGATGGCCTGGATTGCAGCCATTCAAAGATCAAATATAACGTCCCAGAACACTCCAGCTCACAGGTTAGTCTGCTCCAAGCATTTACACGAAGGTCAGTGTTTTTTAGTAGTTAATACGTCATTTTCATAACATAATTAGTGATATAGGTTACAAGCAAGTCTGGCGCTGAACAGAAATTGTCGCGCTATGCTCCTTTATTTATTGTGCATAAATAGTGAATTGTCCTGACACAATATTGCGTTTCGCTTCTGTTATTATGGTACATTGACAAAAACATATACTTTTATTCACAGGATAAAACAGGTTTTTTGTATCACTAATTGCCCAGTACGATTACAGCATACAATATTGTTGTCACTGCTACATTTCTGTGATGGGTACCAGAAATTATTTCCACTACTAATTAATTACCGTTGAGCTCAAAGGTCCTATTAATAAACGGTTAAGGAATGTGTATTTATGACGACAATTTGTGAGACTGGTAAACTTATGATACGTACGATGGTCTTTCGTTCTACATGGTGCATTTCAAGGTCCTGTACCCATCCGTCGGTAAACTGTACCTGGGCTTGTTGCAGTGACCTGAAGTTACTAAACTTCATGAGTGTATGCGCTCACTCCAAGAACCGTATGATTATAAATATGCATATAAATATGCTAAGATGAGATAGCTGACTTCATCTAACTAGCAAATGTTGTCCAGGCTACGTTGGTGATACAGTTTTTTTTAATGTGTATGATATTTTTGTCATGCGATTTTAAAGCTGGTCCTACAACCGCATCCAAGAATAACATGCAGCTTATCTCAGAACTGTCGGTGAAAATTATTCTTGGAGCTAGGTTTAATTGAGCTGCATTTTAAAGAGGTGCAATTTCACAATTTGTGTATATTTTCTAAGTTCACTATTTTGTCATGTGTTGAGAAAAACACAGATTTTAAAATTACATGGTCTAATATTTACATTTAGCATATAACTGCAACATTATTTTTTCGTTTTTTTTTTTTTTAAAGACTCGAAAGGACTTGAAATTCAAAGTTTCAGACTTGTGACTTGACTCGGACTTTTACACCAGTGACTTGAGACTCGACTCTGACTTGCCTGACATTACTTGAGACTTGACTTGAGACTTGAGGATAAAGACTTGAGACTTACTTGAGACTTGCAAAACAATGACTTGGTCCCACCTCTGTAGTGTTGCTTTGTTAATGTTTTATTTTGTGTCTTTCAGTTGATTACCTGGCTTCTGTACTGGTGTTAGCTTATGCTTGTGCAGTAAAGCTTATAAAAGGCAGCAATCAGCCTGAGTACGACACAGTTTCATCAGTTAAAACACACCCTTACGGTGGGAGTTTACTATCTTAAAGGTAGTTAGCTTAGTAAAAACTGTACAGTCAGCATAAAAAAGGAACCTGGTGTTGTTTGTCTCTCAGAAACAGTTCATAACGTCCCTTCAACTCATTCATGTCACCTAAAAGGTAAACCAGTTTGTCCATCACCTGTTCAACTCTTATGATTCAGTAAGGA